GGGGGGATAAATAGAGGGAGGTTTACCCAAGGCGTTGGTTTTAGCAATGTTCTATTTACACGCTACATGTACACCTTAATAAAGAAGTATTTGTCTGAACCAAGACTGGTTGCGTGAGAATGCTTCAGAACTGAGAGTTGGACATTGTGGACTTGACATTTTGTGTGTGAGAAATGTGCTGAGCCACCAGAGGTGTGAACTTCAAGCCATCTGTGATAATAAAAGGTGCCCCTCCTACCATAAGTGCCCTCGTAAGAAAACGTTTACAGCAAGCTGAATTGACCCTGGGTGGCAACAGGGAGAAGAATCAGTCAGGAACTTGTAGCCCCATAAACCAAATTGTTTTTATTCACCGACCATCTCTCAGAGATAGTCCGGCTAGCGTGCTGACCTAGTAGGAAGGGATGAATAATAATAAGGTCACACAGATGCATTTATCTAAAATATTCCAACATCACGCTGTAATTTACACTGTGTCTGCCTTTTTTATTTTTTATTTTTGTCCTGTCTTTACAATGTAGTGGGCCAAGGGTGTATAAGCTCTGGTTCGGCTTTTCCTTTGCTGGGAGCGCAGTATATACAGTATATACTGTATGCATGTTGATAAAATTACAGTATGTTGTATCTTCAGAGTGATTTGGTTGCTTTTGGTGAGCCAGGTTTCATACTTTCATCCTGATACTATACGGCCACATTGATATGGCTGTACTGCACATTCAGTCATGAGAAAAATGGGAAAAGGCAATGTCAGCCTGTGGCTCCCACCTCACTATAGTTGGATACCTCTATTGCTTAGCTGTGGCTACCTATTTCCTGCCTGAAACCAAGATTTTTAGTGAGCAGGAGAAAGCAGTAGCTGTGTTCTATGCAATAGTTACCCCCTTATTCCTTTACTGACTTACTGATTTTCTTCACGCCACATTATGCATTCTACCTCCCAAACCCTAAAAGGGTCGATTCTGCAGAACAAAACATTAATAACTGGTACTGAAACTGCATTTGCCTCCATGACAACAGTCTTTCCTAAGCCCAAAGCACGAAATATGTCCAAATAAAGGATGAGAGATATCTGTCTTGCAGTTTACTTAAATTGTCATTTACGATAAATGACAAATATTGCTGCAGTTAAAAAAGCTCTGAAAAATACTGAGGTATTCCTTCCTTTTCTGTCACTGGTTCTGTGGATTATCAGCCCTTGGCAGGATTTTAAATTCTTGACTTTCCGCGTTTGTGCTACTCTTGATAGCAGGTATATGAATGGCAACCATGGAATACTGTCCTGAGAAGTCATAAATAGACATTTCACAAAAGGAATAAATGCATCCTTTTCTTGATGTTAATAACTTCCTGCCTTTTGCGGAAAATGAAAAACTGAATAAAACAAGCCGTATCTCCCAGGTCCCATCCTCTCAGTAGTTTAGACTGCTTTCTATGGTTTGGTGCTTGCCCTCGACTGAGGGTTGCCCACAAGATGGCTT